GCGCGGCCTGCACGGCGGGCCAGGCCCGGAGGAGTGGACGGAGGAGGCAGCCAGCGAGGGGCCCCCGGAATCCCGCGCGGCAGGTACGGGCGTGAGGAGGGCGGTTGAGGCCCCCGGCGGGCAGCGGGAAGCCGGTCCCAGCTGAGGCGGCTCTGAGTAACCCTCCCTGTGTATTTTTCTGGGAGTCACAAACTCCTCCATGTCCAGAGCTGGAAGGGACTTAGAAGGTTGTTGGCGCCCGCTTTGCCATTTCACCGTGAAGCGACAGCAAGGCCAAGGGACGAAGTGACGGCTCCAAACCGCCAGGCGTCCGGGCGGCCACGCCGGACCCTTGGCGGCACAACCTCGCCGTCCTCACTCCCCTTCACACTCCTCCTGGGGTCCCGAGCAATGGCCTTGGCCGGAGGGTTGGGGCGTGAGGATTCGGAGGAAGAGCCGGGGGCTGGGGCTAGAGTGTAAGAAGCGCTGATAGGAGACGGGGCTAATTTAAGGTCCTGTAATCACTGGAGGTTTTTAGAAACTTGAGACTTGGTAAATAGATCGCATCTGCGAAAGGCCAGTGTACGAGAGGGGAAGGTGTTAGAGAACTAGCCACTGCTAGGTCCTTGGGAGCCCGAACGTTAAGGAGCTATAAAGTTACAGGCTCTAGTACTTCAAGGTGAAGAACAGAGTATCTGAATCTTTACAGGAAAAAAAGAAAATCAGGATCTCATAGATAACGGTTGTTATATAACCCAAATGGCTTTATAAGAAAAATTTGAGGGTTCAAAGTAATTGCTTTAAAATTTTTAGCGCTCTTTTTTTTTTTTTCCTTTGGGGCCACACACACACACACACACACTCTCACTCACACTGCTAGGCCTAAGTTTCTTCCATCTCTCAGGTGAAGGTTGTGGACCAGGTAATAAGAGCCCGTACAGCTCACAATTCTAGTTCTGTGACCCTTTATGTCTGGGATTCAATTTAATATGCCCCAGGATAGCACCATCTCCCCAACTTGTGCCGTTTTCCTTTAACAGTTCTGTGTCTGAGGTATGTCTTGCTCATTTCCTCAAGTACTAGTTAACAGAAAGTCATTTGTTGCTGATGTGTGGTTCCATTTGCATGCGGTAATGGCAAAGGATGTGTGGTGGCTCTGTGTATCCTGGGCACCCTTCCTGTAGGAGAGCAGTGCTGTATGAAACCACTGCCCAGGTTCCCCTCCCAGGAGGCCTGGGCCCTACCGTCTTTGAAAACATTTTAGATCTAAACACCCTCCAGGAGGAGCAGTTTCACTGTCAGTTGCGTCTTTGGGTGCATACCATGTTTGTCTCCTACTTGGCCACCTGACACAAGCAAATCTTTGTGCATTTCAGATCATACTGGTCCCAAGTTTGACATTGATATGTTGGTTTCACTTCTGAGGCAAGAAAATGCAAGAGACATTTGTGTGATCCAGGTTCCTCCAGAAATGAAATATACAGATTACTTTGTGATTGGTAGTGGGACTTCTACCCGACACTTACATGCCATGGCCTACTACATCGTGAAAATGGTAGGATGCTTTCTTTTCACTTTGGAACAGTTGACTGAATGAAAGTGTCAGTTCGTTAGGCTGAGGAGCAACACATGAAAAGTAAACCCATCAATGAGATTATATAAGAAGCCCAAATTTTCATAATTTGCATGAGCGTTTTATATTCTTTCTTTGATAGTGAAAGTTACGGGGGCAAATACCCAATCCTAGTGAATCAAGGTATTTCTAATTATTGTCTCTTAAAAAAATATTAAAAAATAACCTGAGGCAGACAAGAAGACATTATAACCCAGAGGGATTTCTAGAGCAGCACTGTCCAATATAGTAGCCATTAGCCACATGCGGCTATTTAATTATAAATTAAAATTTAAAATTCAGTTCTCCAATTGTACTAGGCCAGATTTCCGGTGCTCCATAGCCACATGTGACTAATGGCTACCATAGTGGACAGCACAACTATAAGACATTTCCACAATTGCAAAAAGTTCTGTTGGACAGTGCTGACCTAGAGTCGAATTTAAACGTTTGAGCATGTCCGGTGTTCCCCAGCGCGGTGCTGGGTGTGGAGAAGACAGGATTTAGTCCTTGTCCTCTGAGGTCACAGCTGAGGAAAGGGAAGGCAGTTCATTTCCAGCTGGACTCGCTCCAAACCAGAGTGAAGAATAGGAACATGGTGGCCTTTACCTGATACCACTTTACAGGGAAACATCTCTCTCACCTTGTTGAAAATTGGTCAGAGAAGGGACAGTTAAGACCAAGCGAATAGCTGGAATTGCCTAGAGAAGGTTGGTAAAATTAAAAGGGGGCTGAAAATAGCCTTGGTGCCCGTACACATTGAACAGTAACTGCCCATTCCCCTGGCAATCACCATTCTGCTTTCTGTCTCTGTAAATTTGATTAAGTACCTCATATGAGTGAAATAATACCCTGTTCGTGTTTTGTGGGGTTTCTTTGTGACTGGCTATGTCACTTAGCATAATGTTTTCAAGGTTTATCCATCTTGAGCATATGTCATAATATTTTATTATATGTGCATACCATATTTTATCTGTTCATCCATTGATGGACATTGGGTTTCTTCCCCCTTTGGGCTATTATGAATAATGCTACTATAAACACAACTATAGAAATATCTGTTCATGTCCCAGCTTTTTAAAAATTTATTTTTTAATTATAGTTGACATACAAATTGTATTAGTTTCAGGTATACAACATATTGATTAGACATTTATATACCTTAAGAAGTGATCACCATAAGTCTAGCACCCTTCTGGCACCATACATAATTATTACAGTATTATTGACTATATTCCCTGTGTTGTATTTTACATCCCCATGACTAATTTTATAACTGGCAGTTTTTACTTCTTAATTCCCTTCACTTTTTTTGCCTATCTCCCCACCTCTCTCACTTCTGGCAACCTTCAGTTCTGTATCTATTGAGTCTGTTTCTGTTCTGCTTGTTCATTTATTTTGTTTTTTAGGTTCAATTGTAGATATATGTATTTATTGCATTTTATTGTTCATGTTTTTTGTCTTTTTCCCCTCCTCCTTAAAGACCCTTTAACATTTTGTGTAATACTGGTTTGGTGGTGATGAACTCCTTTAGCTTTTCTTGTCTAGGAAGCTTGGGTATGGCACCTGCCTGCTGGCTCTGTGGAAAGGGGGGAGGGGAGCGGTCATCTCAGAAAAGGAACAGTGGCCTCTGCCAACACTTTCGTCTGGCAGAGGCCGTGTTCTGCCCCTCCAGCTCTTGCCTTGATGCCAGACAATTCAGTTCCTCCCTGTCTTTCCCTGGTGCCTTTCAAACTGCTGCCCCAAGTGCTGGAGCTCAGAGGGAATGAATCGGAGTAAGTCTGGCAGAGGCCTAAGTCTGTGTGTGGGCCCTTGAAGAGGAACTGCCTAGGACTCCAGCAGCCCTTTGTCTCACTCAGCCACAATCCCCACTGGTTTCAGAAGTTATGGGAGACTTGTTTTCTTGGCACTGGAACCCTGGGTTTGGAGGCCTGGTGTGCGGCTGACCCCTCACTCCTCAGGAACATCTGCAGCCAAGATATCCCTCCTGATTATCTGCCACATGTGGATGTGGGACCAGCCCATTCCACATCTCCACCCCTCCTCCCCTCCTACTAGTCTCCATGTGGCTTCTTCTTTAAATCCTTTGTAAGACTTCCATTTATCTAGATTTCAGGTGGTTCTGAATGATGGGGTGAAAGTGGGCATTGTTTCTAATCTTAGAGGAAAAGCTTAGTCTTTCGCCATTGAATGTGATATAGCTGTGGGCTTTTATCATCTTGAGATAGTTTCTTTTCATTTAGTTTGTTGAGTGTACCATGAAAGGATGTTGAATTTTGTCAAATGCTTTTTTTGCATAAATTTGAGATGGTCCTATGGTTTTGTCCCTCATTTTATTTATGTGGTTTATTACATTTTTTCATGTGGAACCATCTTTACATTCCAGGAATAAATCCCACTTGTGTATGTATAGGTTGTGTATATATAGGGTATCCCCCCAAAATGTACACACACACTTTGAATATAAAGGCAGTGTTTATTAAACTACATTTTATTTTCAAAATTGAGCTATCAGCTGTTACAGTGTGTACACACACCCTGTATTTTTCAATGCTACTGAATTGGTCTGCTCGTCGGTGGCATTTTGTTTAAGACTTTTGTATCAGTATTCATCAGGGATTCTGGTCTGTAGTTTCCTAGAGGTCTTTGGCTTTGGTGTTAGGGTAATGCTAAGGTCATAGTTAGGAAGTGTTCCCTTCTCTTAAATTTTGTTGGAAGAGTTTGAGAAGAATCTGTGTTGGCTTTAGTTTAAATTTGTGGTAGAATTCACCAGTGAAGCTATCTGGTCCAGGGCTTTTCTTTGTTGGGAGTCCCGTCCCCGTCCCCCCCCC